AATGATTCTGAGAATCTCTGCAGAAAGCTCATTTTCAGCTAATAGTATCTAATAGAAGTCACTCCCTACTTATCATTTTGTTCTTATTTTTAAGGCTTTCAAGATCAACTGTGCAGGATAGATTGCATTATGGAATGGATCCCAGTCTCTGGGACATATCAATTTCTAAATATTATTGCCAAGGCCACGCAAAGAGTTGAAAAAGAAACATCCTGAAAAGGAACAGTTGTTCTAACCAGTTGGAGGTGATGATTTATCAAGAACCATTAATCTGCTGCCATGTGAACAGCCTCCAGCACGTTCACTTTCCTTCTCAGTGACAGAGTAATTTCTAATTATGGTTCAGGACAGTATCTTCACCTGACGTGAAACAGAAGTTCGAGGAAAATATGTGCATTTAAAAAAAAACTAAATATCTACTCTGCTGGTAAACAAGACACAATTATGTGCCAAATTGTGCCCAGGCAACTTAGGAGGTTCATGTATTTACATGGAATTGTTATTTTTTAACTAAGATGAAAATAATTTACTCTCATTTCTGAGAGAAAGCAAGTAAAATGATTCACTTAGTTAACAACCAAGTTAGGTTGTATATCATAAATGTGTAAAACAGACTTCAAGCAGATCTTCTGTGTCTATTTAATATTCTGTTAGGATTAACCACAATTGGCAATAAGCCCTTTAAGCAAAAAATGACCTTCACATTTTCATGAATACCTCACTTCTGTAACTTATTATCTGTGTATGACTTTGGTCAAGTTACTTAATCTTGGTTACTGAGCCTCATTTTTCTTGTCTGTTAAATAGGGCTAATACTAATACCATCTTTTAGATTCATATACACTTAAGAACTTAGGTATTTGTTAGTTCTTGTTATTAGACACGATCCTCCTGTTCACCTAGCCTCTAGGATCAACATAATTTTGCTTTTTCCTAGTGAGAGAATAAACCCAGAACCAAAATATGTAGGTCCTAATAGTTAAGTGCCCTAAAAGAAACGGACCATCTACCAAAATATATAATGCTCATTCCTTCCATTTATGTCCCCATCCTCCTACCTGATACCTAAGTCTCTTTCAGGATTTATAACTTTGTTCTAAGCATTCTTCCTAAAGAGGTCCAAAAATGAAAATGATCAAGGAAAGATTAAAGCTATTATCACTTTGTGAGAATATGTGTGTATGGTTTTTCTCCTGGGAATTATCTCACATACTGATACTTAGTACCTGGGAAAGAATAAAATCATTCTTAATAAAGGGACAAAAGGGCACAGGATACATGTCACAACTTTGCTTAAAATAAGCTTTACCTGTTAATCMTTTGACTTTGTACTAAAAAACTTCTGAAAGGAACTCAAGAAAATAGTATTAATAGTTGCTTCTAAGGTAGGGGACTGGAGAGCCACATGGAAGGGCAAGGTGAGGCTTGCTTTCATTGCATATTCTCTTACACTTTTTGAACTTGGTACTGCAGGCAGGTATAACCTATACAAAATTTTAAATTATTTTTTAAAAACTCAATCATCACATTCTGTCACTTGTTCTACCTCAGGTTTTAGAGAATGTACTTACATGTTTAGGTATTTAAGAGTTGGCCTTTTTCCCTAAAAATAAGTTGGATTCATTTAAAATATGACAGGCTTGGGGGTGAGTTTGTGGCTCAGTGGTAGAGGCTTGCCTTGCATGTGTGAGGTACCAGGTTCGATTCTCAGCACCACATATAAATAAATAAAATAAAGGTCCACTGACAACTAAAAAAAAAAAATGATAGTCTTTTCAAGACTGATTTATTTATCTTCAAAAYAGTAAACATATTAAAAACACAGTCCTGAAGACACAGAGCTATTAGATAATTAACATAATTTACTTATTTTCTATATATACAGTTTTTTTCACTAAAACTTAAGCTTTGTGTTCACAGGAGCTGAGTTTTATAAATCTCTGAAGGCCCCACTGAGGCAAACACTAGGTTTTCACATGAGGACAGAGGAAGAGATCCAGGAAGGAGGGGGGGATAAAGGAAGGCATGGAGAAAAACTGATCAAATTATGTTATATGTATGTATCAATATACCATAATCAAACCCTCTATTAAGTACAATAATTATGCACCAATAAAAAAAAAAACAGAGAACCAATCCACAGGAAAGTTAATGTCTAATGCCACAGAGGGTGGGACTATAGCTTAYGAGTTCTGCAAACCTGGATTCAAATCCTGATTTCACTGATTCCACACTATAACCTTGGCCAACTTATTTAATCTAAGCCTTAGCTCCCTCTACTTTAAAATAGAAATAAAAATAGTGTTGAGCTCAAAGAGTTGAGTATTAAGGAAATACATGTCGCAAATCTGGCGGTGTATGGCAGATGACAAGTACCCAATAAATGTTAGCTAATAATATTAATGATGACAGTAAGCTGAGAACTGAAGAATAAATAAAATTAGCCAGGTAAAAGGAAGGGAGGAGGGAGGAAGCATGTCCTTTATAAAAAAAACAAAAAAAAAAGACCATTCAGAAAAGCAATAGTATAATAAAGCTGGCTCAAGCCAAGTGTTTGGGGATGAAGCAGATGCTAGAAAGGCAGGCAGAACCAAGCTCCATGGATTTATCCAGCTAAGTGGGGGTACCTCAAGAATTTTAATCAGAGGAGGAACAGTAGCAGATTAGAGTTTTAAAATGATCAACTTGGCTACAGTGTGGGAATAAAATGAAAAGAGWATAGAAGCAGGGAGATCAGTGATGATAATTTTAAAATAACTCCTTGGCTACTGTATATTTTCAGGTAGGAAGGTATACATCACATGAAAAAAAAAAACATATAGCAATCCAAAAAGGATCTTGAAGTTACTATCAGGCTTGTCTGTATTAGCTAATTAGCATTTCATTCATTCCAACAAGCATTGTACTGAGAGAGATTTCAAAGAGCATCACCCCGTATGGCCCTGTTTTCCWGAAGCATCCCATCCAACACTGACTGCCCGTTTTCCTCTCTCTGGCTGGAAGGCCTGTTACCCTGGTGACCCAGATCATGTGAAATAGCAAAAGTGTTTCCGGGAGAGATCATACACAGAAAGCCAAGCTAAGAGGCAAGGTCACAGAACAGATTAAGATGGAGCCTAAAGCACAAAGGTGACTCACCTTCMCCCTGGGAAGTAGAAATGTCACTAACTACATCAGTGTATTGCATACTGCTTCTTACTCAAGGAGTCATTCTTCCGTGACCCATGAAGTGAATAATTGATAATTGACATTCATCAAATGTCCTCACCTGTGAATTTCATGTAAATTAATAAATTTATCACAATTTTATGAAATAGGTATTATTATGCCCACCCAATAGGTGAGAAAATTGAGGCAAGAAATATTTCCTCAAGGTGATAGAATTAAAGCAGTGAGGCTGAGAGATGCAGCCTAATGTTCTCATCCATTGAACTTTGTGACCTCTGCTAATGGGCCAACAAGCTGGTATCAAAATGGAGCCAAATCTGGGCAGGGGACAAAAATCACTGCTCCCACTAAATAAACTTGGGAGGTTTTATTATAGGAATAAAGTGAAATGGATGAAGTCTCTTGAGAGAAAACTGGACCACTATCATCAAATGAGTACCATTTTAAAAGGGTTTCTGAAACCTATTTTACTCTTAAGTAGAAAGCACGGTTGTGCCATATGGTCTATAACACATTAGAAGGTACTCTAATGGGATTGATTACATTCCTTACCAGGTTAAAACAGAGTGGGCATCTCACAGACTCAAACGTGGAAAGGTGTAGCAAAGGCAATAAAAGAGCTAAAAGAATGAGACCTGTTACTCTTTTAAAGGTTTTCTTCTAAAGTAGGGTGAGAAAAAAGTTGATTACTTCAGTGAAAAATAAATGTAATATCCTTATTCTCAGACCATGCAGGGTTCCATCATCCAAGTAGTGGAGCACATATAGAATAAGCATATTTAAATCAGAAGCTCTGTGAGGCATTTCCAATGCGAAGAGAAAAAAGACAAAATGGGAAAAAAATTCTAACCCTCAGAAATGAAAGAAACCACCTGCATYTTGTAATGCCAATAACGCCAATAGCAAAGGAGAGTCTTGAGCCTGAGCTCTTGGAGCGCAATGAGAAGAATCCCAAGCCAGATGGCATTTTAAAATCCAATCTCACTCTATTTGTCTCTCCCACTAACCTACATTGTCTTTAAAGCAATCACAGCCATTTTCACAACTGCAATATTTTAGTCACTATCCCCTGAGAACACAAAAAGCTCTCTTAATTGCTATGAGTTAAAAAATATAGAGAATAAAAATTATGGAATTTGGGAAAAAAATATTTTCAATTAAGCGCACCAGCCAACATCCCACCGTGAGTACAGCTTTTTGAACCCAGCCCATACACACATCTAGCACAGCTCACCAACAAAACGCTCCCCTTAAATTCATTTGCTTGCCAGTCCCGTTCTTTGGGACTTACTCGCCACCACTGAAAAGTAACTCGAATCGCCCCCAGATCTGTCTGTGGCACAGACGCCTGTTAATTCATCAGGCTAGCCCAGCCCCAAGCGCCAAGGCAGGACTTGAGGGTTTCTTGGCTACSGGCGCTGTCCCCTGGAGGGGCACCCAGCCACCGCCCGCTCGCCTGGGGTGACACCCATCTCAGTCCCCACTTTCTGGGAAACACTCATAGTTGCTTTGTCTTTTCTGCTGTTTAATTTTTGCAAATAAAAATGCTTGCSAGATGGATTCCCCAGCCCACCCACCTGCCCCAATCCCCAGAACCACACTCAATCGGATCGTCTGGAAGGCTGCCTGCCCACAGCCAGGAGGTGTGAACAATGAACTTCTCTCTTTGACGCTCTCTCTCACACCGGTACGCACACCCCCTCGCCCCCCAATGAGAAGTTGTGAACTAGCCGGGGGTGGCCAATTCCGCCGGCAACTCGGCCGCCGGCAGTAGGAGAGGGCCGGGTGCGCGCCCCCGGCCGCGCCCCTCGMGTCGCGGGGTGGGCAGTTACCTCCTTCCTCCGGCTCGGCGCCCCGGGTCGAGTAATGAGGGCCGTCTCCTCGCACACCACGGCGACGTCCTCCACGAACACGCAGTCCGGGAGGCTCTCGTCGGCCGGCAGCTCCACCACCTGCAGCCCCAGCTTGCTGCCCAGCACGCCCACGTAGAGCTGGTGCTGCCGCTCCGCGCGGGCGAAATCCACCTCGTCGCCCTTGGCGCGCCTCAGCGCGTGCTGGCTGAGGGACTCGGGCGGCGCCCGCACCACTGCGTGGGTGGCCCGGCCAAAGGCGGCGGGGTGGCCGAGGCCGGCCATGGTTCTGTGAGACGATGGGACAGCGGCGGGGGCGCGGCGGCCGGGTCCTCCCGCGAGCAGCGCTTGCGAAGCCTGCGAGCGCCCAGTGGCTCCCCTTGGCAGCCGATGAATGTGGTGCAGAAGGAGCCCGGCTCGCGCCCGGAGCTCTGCCCGCGCGACTGAGCATGCCCAGTGCTCCGGGCGCCGGCCCGCGCGCAGCCCGCGCGCCCACTCCAGCGCTCCGGGGTTTTGCGGCAGCCAGAGCGAGAGTTGTAGCCAGGAGCACCGCACCCGGTGTGGGGATGGGGAGACAGCCGAGGAAGCAGCGAGGGCGAGTGGAGTGCGCAGGTGGATGGGCCTTTGCAAAAAGTCACCCCTACCTGGTCTGTATTCCGCCGCAGGTGCACACTTCACTTGCCCCTAAAGAGGACTTGGAGAGTGGGCAGTGGTCTATACAAAATGACCGGGGAGGTCTTCTTGGTGGTCAAGAGGCAAGGTATGGGATGGTTCTTTAGTGGATACTTTCACCTCTTTTACCACATTCTWCTATTCTCAGGTCGCCCCACATCCTCCATGTTCCTAGCTTTACAATCTGTTTTTATACTCAAGTTTGCATTACCTTGACTTTCTCCAAAATTGACCTCTTACCCCACATGAGACTCGAGATTATAAAAAGAATGTATTTCCTCTCAACCGTGAAAAAGAGGAAGAGTCCAAGAAAGTGAGAGAGAAAAAAAACGCATGTTTTTTTTCCAGGACAATCAGTTCTCAGAACAGTGTGATCCTGGAGTGTTTGTCTCCATAGTCGATAGACCTACGAGCCAAAGAGCAAGCGTATTATTCCCAGTACAGATATGTGCTCACCTGGAATGGTGCCAAGTGTGTAGCATCAGATCCTTGTCCGTGGGAAACAGGGTTTCCAACCTCCTCCCTGCGCCTTTTTCCCTCACATTGGTACAGACTCTAATTCCTGTGGTATTCCTTGAACATTTCTTTTTCTTTATCCCTATGAGACTGTTCTTCCTTCTGTAATAATACAAAGCTTTTATTTTTTTCTCATATGTTGCATATTTTAAAATCCATGGATTGTGCCCTTTTTGATGGGTTGAACTTCAAAAAAAAAAAAAACCAGCTATAACACCAAAATAATCTAAAGGTAATAACTTTCTCCCCTCACATGCAGTACCACGCTACTCATTTTTTAATTGTTTTTGTTTGTTTGTTTGTTTGTTTTGTTGTTGGGTACCAGGGGTTGAACAGGGGAACTTAACCACTGAGCCACATCCCCAGTCTCTTTTTTGTATTTTATTTATAAACAGAGTTTCACTAAGTTGATTAGAGTGTCACTAAGTTGTTAAGACTGACTTTGAACTCCCAATCCTCCTGCCTCAGCCTCCCCAGCCTCTGGGATTACAGGCAGYCATCACCATGCTTAGCATCACACCACTCAGACTGTTTAACTCATAAAATATTAGAAACCCTGTTGTCTAACTTCCTGCCCAATGTCTTGAATTCCACCTAAAAACTCTATGACAGTCATTGAATTTTTTCTTGAATATTTTAAATCTTTCATATCCACAAAATTGACTCCATTTTTGAAGATCTCTAATGGCTRTAAAGCATCATTTTAAGCTTACATCCTACTGGCCCCAGTTCTGCTTTCTGGCATTATCTAAAGTTCCAACAATCCTTGACAAAATAGCATGCACACACCTGAAGATATTTGGAATATTTATGGTGCCCCCTTCCATCCTGACCCCCTTCAGTCTTGGAGCCTGAACCACCACTAGTGATTTGGTTTCTAAGTCCCTTCAACATTCTGGTAATCTCCCTTAAGATGTGCACCAATTTGCCTGTATCCTTTTAAAATCATGGTGTTGGAAGGGAAATAATTATTCATGTGTGTGGTCTGACCAGCGTGACTGGAGCAGCACCCTTGTTCCAGATGCTAGGCTTCTGTTAACACTGTCCAAGACCATATTCACTTTTCAGAGTTCTAGTGCCAAGGCCTAGGCTATAGCCTTCTTGCCAGATCTCTGATCCCAGCTTTCAGGAAGTATGGGTTTCTAGGAGCAAATCTATATGAGCATTTGAAAATGGTTGTCCCAGCTGAGCCCAAAGAAGATGGGATGTGCTTTCTCACTCTTTCCCCAAGGAGAATTGAGTTTACAAATGACAGCACTTACCAGCTTCTAAAATTAGTCAATTTCACTGAAGGACACCTCTAATCCTGACACCTACGAGGAAGATCAAAAGTAAAACAACAAACCTTTAAGACTAGGTTCTGCTTCTAATGCAAAACTTTCAGGGGATCAACCCTGACCAATTAATACCAGTTTAACATCAGAAACTACTTAATGATATCCTCTGATGGAGGATTCCCACAAGCATTTCAAAGGTGAAAGTTAACCCATATATTTAGCTAATATAAGTTAAAATATAAGACTTTGTTTCCCATTTATTGTAGACTTTACCCAACATTGCAGCTTGATCCACTTTGAACTGGTCACCATCCAGCAACCTTCATTTATGCCTGTGTCTTGGAGTCTGAACAGTTTGCCAGCCAATCATCACCCTCATCCTATGAACAGGGTTCTGTGCACCACTCTGGGCTCATGTCAGCCTAGCATTCAATAAATCCTAAAAATCTCTCGCTGTAAATTGGTGTTAACCACATCATTCCATACTGAAATTGGACAGCTGGTTTTAGAAAATGCAATTTTGTAGTTATCCCTATTTAATATTATCTGCTACATCCCAACTTGTCTAGTTTTGGTTCTGTCATTTTGTGCATTATTTATTACTCATAGTCTGTGCCATCTGAAATTTGATATGCATGCCTGCCTTCTGTCTCCTCTAAGGAGTTAAGAAGAGTTAGAATGTGTGAGTTGGTGAAAAGAATAATAAAAACACCAAATCCAATAAATTATAATTTACATGGCTTCATGTTTCAGTAATGAAGGATGGTTCTTAGAAAAATGGACTTTATTGAACCTTATACACTTACAAGTTTCTTTCCGCATGCATATTTATGGAAAATTCCCAAGGCACAACACCATGCCATGCACTTTAGAGTCACACAGAAAGCATAAAAACATGATCTTTGTCCTTAAAGAGACTACACTCTCATTAGGAAAACAAGACATGCAGAATTGGAGCCACAATAAGCGCACATGAAAGTGCTACAGGAAGCCAAGAGAAAGAACTATCATTGTAGCTGGCAGGAGTGGAAGAAAGGTACCTGACGGTCAATGATTGCCCTTGGTTTCGGCTTCGAATAATTTTTAGACTGTAATTGAAGAAGGGAATGAGAAAAATTATGGGAAAAAAGCCAAAGGCATGTTCAAAGGACAATAGGTAGATCCATTCAAATTTGGTATTTGTTGAGTTACATCTCAGAAAGAAGAGAAAGGGGAAGGAAGGTGAAGGGGAGGAGGAAACCTACTGTATAACAGTGCAAATCTGGCAATGCTTATCTCTCACTTGCTTAAAGTTGAACGCAGATGCTCCTGTTTGATTCTCTGCTCTTCTCCAAGCCTCATCCATGGATCTAGCCTTCTTCTGTTCTGTGACTCCAGCCCTTCAGCACGTGGCATCTTAGTTCACCATGCTCACCTTCCTCATGCTGAAGGAAAGGGAGAGAACATGGGAATGGCACCAAATGTGAAAGGTTTATAGGCCAGGCCTGCCACGGATGCATATCACCTCTGCTTACATTCCTCTGGCTACATTCATTCACACAGCTTCAACAACCATGAGGAAGGGCTAGAAAATATGATCTTCTGTGGGCCCAGAAGAAGAACAAATGAGATCGGGAAACAGCTATCTAATTTCTACTCTAGCTAGTAGAGCATAGGGGTGCAGTGGATAAAATGGGAAACGAAGGTAGAAAGGGGGGCTAAGCTTTCATCACAAGCCATGGAGACACATATGGTACAGAACTTAGGATTGTAGGTTTGGGAACCGCACTCTGTGCGTGAAAGCTTGACTCTGCCATTTCCTTGTTGTATGATCTCAGATGTTACTTAAAAGCACTTTGCCTCACTTTCATCTTCATCTGTAAAACGAGGAATAACGAACCCATTATCCTAGGGTTATGTTGAAGATAATATTTCAAAGTGCTTAGAAAAGTGTTTAGAATAGTACCTGCTTCCCAGTAGGGGCTCAATGATCAATGAATGTCATCCATTAAAACATTTTGAACAGAAGACTTTGAATGATTTTTTTTCAAACGCCAAAACACATATCCACATCAGTGGAATTATCAAGAGTCATGCAGGTGTCCTAATTCTTTCCAAAAGAACTAGCGGCCTTCTTAGGCTGACAGTCTAAATCTCACCCACAAATGTGATCATAGATCCAATACATATTTACTGAGCCATTGCTACATGCCAGGTACTGTGCTAGGCACTGGGGATGTAATTGTGAATGGTAATGAAGGGCTTATTATCAAATTGCTTCTTTTGGTCTTCCAGACATTTCAACACCTTTATAACCAATTTCCTGTATAAAGTTCCTGTATTTGAAACATCTAGAGCTGTTTTTATTCTCTGAACTGGATTTGATGAATATAGAAGCAATTTTTCTTTTCCATTGATAACATTGCTAGCACCCGAATTTTGAAGTTCAGTTTACATAGCATGTATCTCAGACATTCCTGCCCTGTAGCAGATACAAGATTTACTTTCATTGAAGCTGGTATTTGGGGATAGGGATGGGAATCCTAAAAGAGATGGAAAATTCAATGATATTCCTATCCATCACAAGTGCTAGAAATATTGAGAGAGTAAGCACCATAGGTCTTACACTAAATCCTGGGTGTTTCAACATAAGAATTATTGCAGAAAGTTTTACTGTGAAAGAAGGTCATTGCTGAATAGTTCCTTTTACATCCCAAGGAGTGAGTGATGTTTCGTCAAATGAGCAGGCAGAGAGTTATAGATGGGGAGATAGTTTCAGAGTAACCACAGCTTGGGTTCCTAAGGTCAAGACACMTAGCCCCCAAACTTAGTTTCTCCAACTTTCATGTGGGATTTCATTCATTATACAAGTATTTACTAAACAGCTACATTGTTGTTGAGAGCCACAGCAGAGTTGGAATGGCCCCTGGCATTTTGCCAGAAGTAATGGTTGAG